GTGGCTGAAAACAGTGGAAATCTAGAAAAAAGTAAAAAAATATAAAAAGGGAAGGGACGATGAAGAGGGAGGGGTGGGGGGGTGGGTGGGAGGTGATGAATGTAAGTGAAACGGAACAAAGCTGATACTAATACTTCTTCCCATTCCCTTCCATAGGTAAAAGGCAGGTGTCTTCAGTAGAGAGCTTCTCTCTATCCATTGTAGATACTTAACCAAACTACATGGGAAGGAAATTGGTTAATATGGTGCCTGAAAGGAAATAGGAACCCCTGAACTCAAGGGGACCAACTACAGAGTAACTGTGGATAGGTTTCCTTATGCTCACAACTGAATACAAAGACTTTATTGATTTATTTCTTTTTTGCAAACAAGGGAAAAACAGCTCAATATTGCAAAGAGTTTTTCCCGAATTTCCAACTGATCTTACATAGAATAAGTTGGATGAAGGTGATCCATCCCCAGCATAGCATCACCAATGCATATAGATCTGGGAATAAGAGCCATGGAACTCAGTGAGACACACATAGATTTGCTGTGCACAACAGTATGTGTAAAATAGTAGCTTTGTTTTTTGTTTGTTTTTTTAAAATGTGTGCAGCTCTTCCTGTCTGCTACCCTGCGTACAAAGTTGGCAAGATGTAGGTGTTCCACTTCTACTTTCACTGCCCACATTCAAGTTAATAAGGAAGACCCACATTTTTAATAATCAAGATGCCTTTTGGAAAGGAACGTTTAGTACAAGATTCTACCAACATTCTTGGTATTTCTTACAAACAGTACAGCTGAATATTTCTAAATCTCACCAGCTGCAACCAGAATTGACTCATGGTCAAGAGAGATTAGAGGTGCTGACCCCCTTCCATTTTAAAAGCACTTAACTTCTATAACCAAAATTGCATGCCACTGTAAGCTATGCCAATATTATGCCAATATTACACCAGGGCCTTTTTTGGATCACTATGGGATAGAAAGAAATATGTTGTTGCTCTTTATTTGGGAGTAATACTGATCATGTGTTGATGACACGGGAACTAAAGAGGGAACTAATTGACATGTGACGCTGCATTCCATGTGACTTGGGCATGGTGTTTATCTAAAAAATAAAAATCCTAAGTCAATGGATAGAATAGTTCCCTTTTGTGTCCAATGTGGCATGTGCTTCCTGTGAAAATCTCAACCCAGCTGCATTAATTAACCTGTTGTCCTTAAATCCCTTTTACCTACTAAAGTCTAACGCTAATCCAATTGTGCCTAATCATTAGACCTTCCCCCTAGTAAGGTTTTTCCTTCAGTTTCTGTATGTATATGCAGATGGGGAACAATTTTATGAAAGGGTGCTAGCAATCAGTAGTCAATAATTAATAATGGTGGGCCTTTTGTTTGTGTGTGTTTTTTAGGGAGGGTTGGAGAGATGGTGTTCACACAGCAGCTCCAGAGAACCTTTAAGGAACTGGATTATCTGGACCTCTTTCAATTGGGATTCAGACCTGGGTACAGGACAAAATGGCATTGACTGCACTTCTGGCAGGAGTGGGATGGGGCTGGTGCACCCATCTTTGCTCCTCTTGATTTCAGCAGTTTTTGATACCATCAATCATGGCATCCTGCTGGATTGTCTCTTTGGAAATTGGGAGTGGACAGAAGTCATGCTGGTTCTCTTCCTTTGGGGCTTGTTCCAGTCAGTATTGATGGGGAAAAGGTCTAGACCATGGCCCCTGCTTTGCGGGATTCCACAGAGCTTGGCATTCTTTTCACTCCTGTTTAACTACATGAAGCCATGGAGTGAGGTATCATCAGTATGCTGATGATATCCAGCTTTATATCTCCACCTGTGGCCACTAAAGCGATGCTGTGGAGGTTGGGTCAGTGTATGGAGAGTGTGGGCGTTTTGATGGGGAAGAACAGGTTTCAGTTCAACCCTCAGAAGATTGGGTGGCTCTGTGTTCTAGGGTCTCTATGTTCCAGGGACTTTCTGTCTTTAGTTTTGGATAGGGCTGCACTACCCCAAACAGAACCAGGGTGCAATTTGGGGGTCCTCCATGACTCATGGCTCCTGTTAGAGGAACTGGTGGCATCCATGTCCAGAAGGGCTTTTGCACAGCTTTGTGTTGTGAGCCAGTTGCACCTGTTCCTGAATTGGGAAGCTCTGCTCACAGTCACTCATGCCTTAGTCACTCCTGAATGAATGACTACAATGCACTTTACATAGGATTGTCCTTAAAGAACATCCAGAAACCACAGTTGGTTCAAAATGCAGCAGCGCAGACAGTTACATATGTTCCTTGATCAGCATATGTTGCACCTCTGCTCTGTGAGCTGCATTAGTTGCCAACACGCTTCCAGGTTCAATTCAAATTGCTGATAGTTACCTATAATGGTCTTCATGGCATGGTGCCAGATTATTTGAGTGTCTACCCATCCCATCCAATCTGACAGGAGCGATATGTTACGGGTCCTGTCTATTAGTGCCATCTGGCAAAACCCAGGAAGAGAGCCTTTTCTGTCGTGGTATCCACTCTTTTTGGAACATCATCCCTCTTGATATCAAATCAGCACCAACCCTTTGGCCCTTCATAAGCCCTTGAAGATGTGGCTATGTCAGCAGTCATGGGGGTCAGAATATATGGCAGAGCCCATGAGATGGTTACAGGTAGTCCTCAACTTATGACCATTTGTTTAGTGACCATCCAAAGTTATGATGGCACTGGAAAAAGTGACTTGTGACTGGTCCTTGCACTTATGACCATCGCAGTGTCCCTGCAGTCACATGATCAAAATTGGAAAGCTTGGCAATCAGCATGTATTTATGATGGTTGCAGCACCCTGGGGTCATGTGATCGCCATTTGTGTCCTTCCCAGCTGTTTTCTGACAAGCAAAATCAATGGGGAACCGTGTGATTCACTTAATGACCATGTGATTTGCTTAATGACCACAAAAATGTAAAATTGGGTGCAGTCACATGATGCCTTGCTGAATGATGAATTTCCTGGTCGCCATTGTGGTTGTAAGTCAAGGACTACCCTTATTTTGGATGTTGATGTTTACAGTTTATCACAGTTGCTAATTATATATATTTTTGTTAAGCTGCTGTTAGGTTGCATTTTTAAATTGTTGTTAGCTGCCCAGAGTCATGACGATGAGATGAGCATTGATATACATTTAAATAAATAAATGTCTTCTGGCCAGTGCGTGTACAGGCATACATATATGCTAATGCTTATACAAATATATCACATTAACACATTTGTTGAGGAAAAAATCACCAGGAATGGGAGATAGCAATCTTAGTTGACAAAGAAAGTGGATAATATACAGAATTTTTGTCTGTGTTTATGAACCCTTTTTTCTAAGGAGATTTGATAGAATTATTCATTAGGGTAAATAGCGTGTGTGTGTGTGTGTGTGTGTGTGTGTGTATGTATGTATGATATATATATTTGGGAGAAAATGAGTTAGAATTGAGGTTGACAATACTGCATCCATGGCAGCAAGGCATGTATATTACCATAAATTAAATTGCTGACTCACAAGATAAAAATAGCTGAAATTTTGTGGAATTGCTAAATCTTGTAAGATCTCTGTATCTTTCTCTATTCTTGGCTGGGTTTCAAATGGAAATGCATGACTTCCAGTGAACATGTTCATCTCTCCTCTCTGTTTTTAAATCTATCTGTTGCTTGTAACATAATGTACAAAATATTGCTAAAGTGTCCACTGCTGGAGGTTACTGATGGAGGCAGAATATAATTTAGAATCTGCTGTAGGGAAACCTAGAGTTAGCCTTTTGAAATTGGAGGCAGATTTTGACATGGAAATTTCTATGATTTTGAGATTCCACATTTTCAGAATTGTTTTCAACATCTGATGAACATTGGATTAATATATATATATACATGAAATTTGTTCATGCACATTTCCATGAGGCAGCAAATTAGACTGGGTTGATCAAGAGCTAGTGTGCAGAAAAGCCACAGTCTGAAGCAGACCTCAGCGCGCTTAAATTTCCTGGCACATGGCAAATGTGTTTAATTCTATATTGGGATTTATCCTCTCTGTCATGTGGGCAGTGCATTCTTTGGGACTTTCCCCATTGCTGAGTTGGAGTGGCCTTCACCCATCCCTAAGTCAGCAGAAAACTAGCCAGCATGAAACGCCATGTCCCCACTGTTGATCACCACCCTGCATCTGTTTCTTCTATTTCAAGTCACTGCAGTTGCTTGACTTCCCTCCAAGGTAATAGATGACAAAGCCTAAAAAATGTAATGCACCTTCAGGCTACCCTTGGATGATATCAGAATAAAAGGGAAAACATTAACATGGGAACAGCTAAGGGCAACATAAGCTTCTCTCACTCATGGGCTGAAGATGAGATAAAGAAAATGTCATAAGGACACAGCAGGAAAAATGTACAGTCCACATGTTTATTGCCTGGTTAGGTAGAAGTGGAAAAGAGCCCTTTGAACCAAACCAGAGATATGTTGTAGAAGGTGCTCAACCCCATTATAATTATTTCAGTCAAGAAGATAGTTTGATGGTACTGTGCTGTGCAAGAAACCATATATGGAAATTGGCAATACATAATTAAGCGTGAAGATCATATGATCCTCATGGCTGTCACAGGATTCCGCCCTATCTGGTATCTGGTTACACCTAAAGATCAAGTTCCAATAGCACAACGTGAGAATTAATTATTAAACTCCCTGGCAGTGTGTTCTTTTTCAAAGTGAGCCAGCATCTGTGTTGTATCCTGTACTTCTAGAAAAGTATCTTCCAGCTACAATCATAGAGCTGGATCCGTAGGTGTTCCTTAGGACTGCATATCTTCTCAAATATCTCAATTTCTGGAGAAGTGATTCTTGGGTCCTCTTAAAATATTAGCGGTATGGAGCAATCCTACAGATCGACAATCACTATCTATAAGGTGAGGCTTGGTTTTCTTTGTACCCTGGATTGTAACAGCCTCTCTTGATTGGCCAAGGGAGACATGTGGTTTAAGAAGATTTTCCTTAATAATGGATTCTGCAGGAGGTAAAAAGGAAGTAGAAAGGAGTTGTTAAAAGATAAATGGAGAAAAAATGTTTGATTATTAAAATCTGTGATCTAGATTGCTTGACAATATAGCTTTTGAGTGCTATAGTTTTAAAAACTTGAATTGACAGTTAATAATCTCTGTTTTAAGTTGTAATATATTTAGAATAACTGAAGATCTTAATTCTTTGAATCCCAATCTGTTTTAAGACAAATTTAATAGTATTGAAATAGTTTATTCACATTATATGCAGCAATTGTGTTTGTGCCCAGATAGTTTGTCCTACATTCTTGGATCATGCAGCCATTCATAGGGGTAGAGACATACATTGCAGCATTGATTCCTTAAAGGCCAGGTTCATACATCATGCTGAGACAGTCTGTATTTTGTTTGTTTTGGCTTAGAATATTATGTGAACTCCACTAATTGTGGTTTATTCAAGAAAGCTAACAAACCATGGCATTGCCCAGTGTGCGCATCTAGAAAAAGAATGAGCCATCTTTCTAGTTTTTTTAGGTGGCAGAGGCAGAATTTGGTCTCCTGCTTTCACTTTAACACAGACCTCAAATTAATGGGGGGATCCTGAATCAAGTGACCTGCATACTATCTGTGGATGGTGAGAAACATAGGTCAATGTATCTGAAGGGCTTTGGGTTGGGAAAGACTATTCTAGAGGAATTGGTTGAAGTCCTCAGTAGCTCAAGAACAACCCTTTCTAACTTGGCTCATCAAGATGGGTTGGCTTATGCTGCCTGATAGTTCTGTGAATTATAGCCCAGCCCATCTGGATGGAGATGCCTGTTGAGGAAGGCTGTTTTTGATCTTCAAGCCTGAAGAAGATTGGGAAGTGAGGGAAATGGTTGCAAAAGTCAAGGAGATGTTTTGAAATGGGCAATACTTAGAAATTAGCAGGTTGTTTCCAACTGGAACTGTAATAAAACTTTGGAGGACATCTGGTTTAATCTCATGCCCAGTGACATTTGGCCTAGCTAAGCTGAAAAACATTAGAAGCCAAGATATTCAGTTTAGAAGAAATGAGAAGGTAATCCAATATGCAGGGAAAACTGCTAGATGAAATTGAAACTATACTTGGCTGCACAGCACACACAAAGGTTGAAATCTTTTGCACACTTACCCAAGAGCACACTCATTGATTTGCAACGGGATTTACATCTAAGTAAACCTAGTGAGGCAGTGTTTGTGCAACATGTTGGCTCATGGTTAACTCTGCCCAAACATACTAGTACTTTCCTTATTGTTAGCAGAGAATGCTGCATATGGAGAGGTATAACTGAGGCTGATAACCTAAGCTACATCTTCTAGAGAAAGTGTACAAAAGTATTATGTACAAGCTTCAATTGATGAAAGCCATACTGGGCAGCAGAGATCAATAGCTATGGGCTCTTCTGGTAATGACCACAGCATATGGAAGATTGCAACTTGGAATGTAAGAAGAATAAATGTTGAAGTGCACAATGAAATGAAATGAAATGAAATGAAATGAAATGAAATGAAAATATGTTGTAAATTTGAAACTAAGGGAAAGGACAAGGATGTGATTAATTTAAATGAAGGTGGTCTGAGGTTGTGGAATGGAACCGATGAATACATACAGGGAAACAGAAGGTGTAGTTTTGATTAAGAATGAAAGGGCCCAAATTTATGTCAGAAAGTATGAATTTGTATTTTCTAGGTTGTTTAGGTAGACATGATAATCCCTCAGATTATGTTTAATTAGATCCAGTTGTTTCTGTCACTGAGCTAGAATAGCTCACTGCTTCATTGTTCCTGATGTCTTTTCCTATCAGCAAATTCAATTTTTTTCCATTTAAAAAAATTAGGGAAAATTAATTAAATAATTATTTTTAAATAATTAAAATGATTAAAAATGATTAGTATTAGGAAAACCATCATTAAATTTTAACAACCATCACCACTGAGTTTTTGGTACCATAATTACCTCCCATCATGTGGCTCTAGCCTAAAGCCAAGTAGGCACCGACTAAGGGGCGCCAAATTTTAGAGGGTGCCAAAATTGAAAAGACTTTTAAAACCACAATAAAAAAGTGAAAAGCATTAATGACACACTTTGAGCTAGCATGCCTGCTCAAGGGTTAAACATAATTTCACAGAATTGTTGTGTGCTGATATAATTAAAATTACTTACTGTGTAAATAGGGTTAATGTGAAAATGTTCGAAAAAAGAAAAAAAATGGTCAGGGCTGAAAATCGTAAGTGTAAAGCTCAAAAACTCAAAGAAAAAAAGAAATAAGAGGGTGCCTTTTTGAAATTCCTAACAAAATTGAAAGATAAGCCAAACCGTAGAAGGCACCATAATATGACTTTGCTTAGGGCGCCAAAATATCTAGAGCCAGCCCTGCCTCCCATTGTATTCTTGATAAGGAGGCTCATTTTGGAATTTTGTCCAGCTGTTTATTAGTGCTTTTAAGAAATCTTTAGCTTTTACAGGTAGTCCTTGTTTAGCAACTGCCTCGTTTAGTGACTGTTCATAGTTACGATGGTGATGAAAAAGTAACTTTGTGACCAGTCCTCGCATTTATGACCTTCGCAAGTCTGTAAAGCAAAGGAAAACTGAAGTAATATCGTGAAATTGTGATGTTTCACTTAGTGATCGCTTCACTTAATGACCAAGTTGCAAGTCCCAATTGTGGTTGCTAAACAAGGACTACCTGTACTATATGCCAGCTTTGAATCTTGCTCAAAGTTCACATACACAAAAAGAATATTGCAGCACTCCATACTTTTGCGTGGACTTGAAAAATCACCAAAATCTACACTCAGTACATGTTGAGTATATAAGGGCCTGTGGTTGGTTGGAGCAGATACTTTACATGCAGAATACCCCAGGATTACTTCTTCAACATGACCCTTTCCAGAAGTGTAGGGATAGCAATTTTTAGAATCTCCAGGCAGCATGGGAATGATCCTAACACACCTGAACATTGTAAGTCTCACAAAGGTTTACTGGACCAGATGACATATGGCCTGCTGTGATATAAGAATGTTTCTTACATGTGACTGAATGGAGCAGCTGAACACTATCTGCCATCCTCTCACATGATCACCTAGACACAAATTATACTTGGAAGGTGATAAACTTATCTGGGACAGCTTTGTGTTATCTGCTCCAAGTTTTTTTTTTTGCACATATGTAGAGCTCTCACGTGTGGGGGTGAGAAAGGAATTTGGCTAAGGAATTCGCAGTAAGACAAATTGTTGGAGCTGGAAAAACATAGTAGAAGATGATGGTTGGCAAACTAAGCTGTATTTAGGCAGTTCTGGCTGCTGAAGAATAGCCTGATCCAGGATGGACCAAAGACATCAAAGAGCTCCTGGGTTAAGGGAAGATTATCAAAGTTGGAGAAAGATGGTATGAAATGGGATCATATTAACTTAATGAACAATCCCCAAGGGAAAAAAGGAGAAGATCAATATTCTACGAGCCATGGAAGATAGCTAGCTAAGCATAATTAATGACCTTGATTAACTCTAAGGGGGAGATATAGTGTTATATCTACCCTCATTTTGCTTACACTGGGTACCATCATAACACCACCTTATATTGGCTGGCACCAATTTTCTTCCAAATCTGGGCCAGTAACTGCGGTCGAGGTATTTGCAGCACAACATACTTTTAAACCTTATGGATGGCCCACTTGATTAGTTGTCTAGAATATAGAAAATAATGCCTGAGCTACCAACAGTGTTTTCTTTAAAGAGACCCAGATGTTGTATGTATGTTTGTTTTTATTCTTCCTTCACCTGGATGGATAACAGAACATTCTGGAACAGTTTAATCCAGCTTTGGAGAAGTTGATATATCTGGGTAACAAGTATCTGCGGGCTTTTCATGGTAAGTGACAATGCTAGCTGTCTTCCTGCTTGCTTACAGTCTGAAGCCACCTTTCTGACCCTGTAGTACATCCACCCTGCTGATATTACAGAAGTCCTTGAACACCTGGCTGTCCTCCTGGACCTGGAGTAGGGTGGTTTGATAACCCAAAAGTTCTTTTTTGATGGTATATATTGTTCTCTCTTCTGCACTTGCATGATCTGTTTCATTATTTTTTATTGTTTCTTGCTTTTAAAATATAAGCCACCCATAATCATATGGAGTTGGGCAGCCATAACATAACATAACATAACATAACATAACATAACATAACATAACATAACATAACATAACATAACTGTATCAGTATGTCCTCAGTTCTGTAGAATTTCATATATGCACGAGACAGGAGGTGATCTTTCTCACCATGCATGGATAGAAAAGAATATCTGAGCAGGCAAATGCATCTGTATAATCAGATGCACCATAATTAGTACAGAGCATAACGTGTATAAGAATTGCACACCTTTGCATGCTCTACTTGTGGACAACATGAAACTAATGGAGTTTCCTGACTCTTTTCTTTGCCCAACAAATGTCAAAAGGTTTGCAGAGAGGCAGTCTGGGAGTTGACCTAAATCTTTGGCAAGGGAAAACCCAAGGAGAGAATTACTGAAAAATGCTTTAATAATAATTGAAGAATAATTCTGAGTAAAATGAATTTTAAAAAGAGAAAGGGAATTCCCAGCCAAAAATGCATTCTAATTTTCTTCCTTTAAAAAAAATTCTGTAGCATTATCTGAGGCCGCAGATGTATATTTTACAGCAATTCAAAAGATTGGAGAACAAGCTCTTCAGAGTTCTACTTCACAAGTTCTGGGTAAGACTTCTATCCAATCTCTCTTCTATTTGGCAATTTTATATGCCCCCCCCCCCAATGATGGCACAAAAGTTGTCAAGAGAAGTGTTTTTGCGCCTGTAAAAGTGCTGCATGCCCCTTTTGTACTTTTTGTGTGAAATAGGAAAAAAATGAAATTATGATATATGGGTTTGATGATTAGAAAAAATGAACATTATGTTGTAATCGCAGAGTAAGAGGTTAATTTAAATTTATACCTATAACTGTTGTAAAAGAAAATTGGAAGTCATTTCTTTATATGTCCTCCTTTCTTTTCTGCACTTTTGGCTTTGTTCTCTCTTTCCTTTTACGTCTTTTTCTCATCTTAAATATTAGTTTTTGTTAGTTTTTATCTTTCTTGCTTGAGATTTAATAAAGTTATTATAAAAAAATTACAATTGCTGCTTGCCAGCTTTCTTCAACTTTGTACTGTGCTAGATCGCAGCTCCCATTGTTTCCAGGCAGCTTGAACATACCTTTCAGAATTATGGAAGTTATAATCCAGCACACTTGGAATCAGTCTAAAGATAGATTGACAGGTTGGGAAAAGACTACAAGGCACCAAATATTAATCTAATTTTCCTATTACTGTATTTACTAAAAAGAGGACTTGTGGGTCCCCCTCCCCCCCCCCCCCCCC